TAAATCAAAGTCACCGGAAGGAAAGAAGAAATCAAAAGCGGTTGAAAAGTCTTCAGTTGGTAAAAAGCATCTAACATTTGTCTGTTCTAAAGTTTTTTCTCACTTTAAGAAATATGTTATTTAGACGCCCATCATCTGTGAAACTCATTTGAAATTGGGTGATTTTTCTGAAGTTTCGTCCATATTGTTAACAGAACCTGGGTTCTTTTTGATGTTGATGTTGTTAGCAATGTGCTTGAGTTACCTCTTGTAGAGAATCCAAACGATTTGGCAGTTTTAGATCTGGATATCAACAGACAGTAAAGGGTTTGGTCAACACTTATGAACAAAGAAGGGGAGTGATTTTGGGCGTTGATACATTGGAAGTGAGTGTCGCTACATTAAAGAGAGGATTTGAACTGATTTGAATTGTTGTTGAAGAAGAAGTAAAGGAAGACCTGAAGATGCTGATGATGATTTTTTATGCTAAGAACTTGTATCTTGTTTTTCTACTGATTTTTTTTTCCTTTTTATGATGAACTATGTTTTTGTTTCAACTGAATTGATTTGTTTAATGTTTGTTTTTGTGGTTCCTTCGTATCTTTCTGCTTTTGATTTTGATATTGTTTAAGATATGTTTGTGTGTTTGTTATGGTTTATTTTTGCTTTGTTGATATGAACCATGATTGCTGATGTAGTTTTTTCTTGTGTTTTGTGCAATGAACCGCTCTCTTAAGTTTGCTAATGTTTATTCTAAGTTTTTTTTTTTTTAAACTGCATTTGTTGATGTTGTTTTTTCATGTGCAGTGAACTAATCAGTCCAAGTTTTTGCTTAGTTTTGTTTGAGATCTAAATTTCATATTGCTTGATTAGTTTATGTTCTTCTTTTTGCACATTGGTTGATTATAAACTGAACTAACCCTTTCATGCTTTTGATTTCTAATCACTTGGAAGTGATTTGGTTTAGTTACTCAGGGGGAGTACACTAATTGAGGGAGAGTTATTCAGTTTGGTTGTTTCTTTGACTTAATGTAAATTGTTATTGATGATGATGTTGTGTATGTTTTGCTTAAGTCTCTTGTTTGTGTTTTTGTTTCTAACTTATCTCTATGCCTTGATGATTATGCTTTTTATGAGATATGTTTTTATGTTGTGTTTCTCACTTGTCTCTTGATGTTGTTTGATGTTTGTGTTTGAGACAGGTGTGTTTGTGAAAAGATTGTGCTTTGGTCATAAGTTTGACAAAGTAGGAGATTGTAAGTATTTTTGTCAACTCATGAGTTTAGAGTGATAACACTAGTTTTGATGTGGGGACTTCATATTGTATTTGCACAATCATTTATGTTTTTATCCCAGTGCCATGACTTTCTGTGTCATTGTGACCACACTCAGTTAAGTTTGTTTTCATGCATGTCGTGTGGGCACATTAGAGTCTCGTGTGATGACACTTGCCTAGCTAGATTTTGTATACACATGTTACGTCGCCATTTGATGTTAGGATTTTATCTTTATCTAAGGCAAGTGTAAGTGGTCCTTGTACACATGTAATTAGTTCATTTAGTGTACTAGAAAATTCGTTTTGCTTTATGGTGGTCCCTAGAAAGTTTGGTGAAAACTTTTCCAAAATGGCCAAACACAAAAGTTACATGTTGGCTGATTGTCCCCTTGCATTGTTGAGCAAGTTTCTTTATATTCATCTTCTCCAATGCATTTCATTTCAAGCTTGAATATACCTCTGATAATTCTCTGTATATTCCTTGAGGTTTCCTCTGCTTTCATTCTGGTTTTATTATGCTTTGGTAGGCTTAAAGTACCTGTTTTAACTCTTGCTTGTTTGAGCTTTGTTTTGAACGTGGTTCCATTGTAGCATGCTTGGAGGAGTTTCAAGCGACTGGAGCTGAAGTGCGTCTTCGGTGATGAACCTTGAAAGGAGCTCAAGACTGACCAGGTGGTCTTGTGTGTGAAGCTAGTTGTGGTGGCTTGATGTTCAACCAAAGAGTGAAGATTGAAGTGTTGTCATAAATAGGGAGTATTTTGCAACTAATATTTGTCTTTAGCTTCGTATTTGAACACTAAACGTTTATCACAGTGGATTAGTTTCGTCTGAACTTGGTCCTATGGATGTAAGCAAGTTGTCAAACCATGTATGAATGTGTTGTGTGCTCTACATTTTTCTATGGATGATTTGTTTATTTTGATGATGATTAAGCCAACATATAAGTACAAAATGAACAAGTTAGCCCGCATAAGTTTAATCAACTTGTAAAGTGATAAAACTTTCTGGAGTAATGAAATTGAATGTATAGAGAGAGATATATAGAGTATTTGAGCTAGAGATGCGTAAGGTGTTTCAGCATTGAAGATGGTGTGCTCTGATACTCAACAGAAACAGAATTAGAGAAAAAACAAAGAGAGTGTTATGGAATTTTATTGATTTTCAACACACAGTTCATGATACCTCATAGGTTTATGTATACAAGAGCTGTTACACGTGTGATCTAACTTCATTCACTAACATCAACTACTAATGGAGTCAGCATAACACATTCAATTATAATAGACTTTTACAGCTTGAACAAATGACTAAAAACTTAATTAGCTGGAGCATAAGACACCTCAGCAGACCTTCAACTCATTCTTTCACTGAAATAAGTATATACAGCGTCATGACAATGAAATGCAAAGATTATTTAAGCGTATTAAATAGGTCATACAAAGGTGAAGGAAAATGGGTAACATTTCTATTCCAGAGCAGTTTACAGATACATGAATTGAGCAACAAGGGACCGCTTATTAAATTTTCTCTTTGAACATAAAGTGTTGTTTGCTTAATGTGATTTTATTTCAATGTCTGTAACTAACTCCGGAAGCTGCATATTTCTCCACTAATATAAAGCTATACCTGGAGGCTAGAGGGGCAATTGTTGTTGAAGTTGTAAATGATTAGATTTGCGCAGCAAAAAAATTACAAATTAAAAATAAATTGATCAATTACTTCATCCCAAATTCGAGTATTGATTATAATGTTTACATTTATTATAAAATCAGTATAATGACAAATTCATACAAGGATTCAAAATACATTACCAACGTTTGGAGGTTCTTTCAAACTTTTAATTTCGCTACTGATTCGAGAATAGAATCACACGAACATTGATCCACACGAAGATAATCCGAAGAATCAAGGGTTAATTTGCTAGAACGACGCAATGGCTTCAAGAATCAAGAAAACAGAATTTTGTTTCACCAAAAATTGATGAACACGTTCAAGGGGTGGCCAGGGTTTTTGTTTGCTTGTGAATTTAATAAAATTGTATCTTTGTTTTAATTTAAGTTGTACATAGTGCAACTATTTAAAACCCTATTCCTTTTAAAAATACCCATGGATTCCATCATTAATCCATCATTGCAATCAAACAAGCCATATTGGTATTGAACTAATAATAATAATAATTTATTAAAATCCACAAATATTAATATATTAAAATATATTAATATTAAATAATAATTATTTATTCTCACTAATTTTAATTTCAATATTAAAATTGAATATAGGCAACAATCTCAACAAATTTAATTATACCGTGGGAAACCAAAATACTCTTTTGTCTTAAAAGACGAAAATACTTCTTTCACATTGATTCTTAAATTACTTTCTAAGTGCGTGACTCGTATGCTCCTTATCATATCAGTAATGAGCAGTATCGTGATTAACACCAATTAATCGTCTCATTATACACAGACCAAGAATAGCCTCTTGCAAGGCATCATGGCCATCCGATAGATTCGGATTCAGCGAAATAGCTATCTATCAACGATATGGTTATTATGCAATCAAATCCTTTTATCATCCATTATCTCATCAAGGTTGAGGTACATAAATAGTGTCGTCCTCAGATATCCTCAATATTTTTGTATTCAGTTACTAGACTAATGATCGGAATAATAAATTGGATTGAGCAACAACTCCATCCTATCATGGCCTCAGATTTAGTGTCATTGTCATTTACTAAATTGCACAGTGAGATCACTTCTCCCGTACCTGGGAGTGATGAATCCTTTGTCGATCTACCATAATCTTGATACACTTGTCAATGTAGCCAATCACTATTGTTCTGATAGTCCTAAATAGAACTACGTTGAGCTAGTGTCAAACTACACCAATTGGTGCGCAAGGCGCTCCGATGATCTCAAGTCGAAGGATCACATACACTACCATCCATTAGAAGATTTATTCTATGAATATTGGGGTTACCATCCATATGGAATCCTCTGGTGAGTATGTCTAGTGAACTTACTTACAGTAAATACCTATGTATTGTACCAGGTTATCAGCAAATAACCTTGACAAGTGAGACCAGTCACTGCCTTACGGCAAAGGTCGTTCAATACTATGATAGTCTTGCCATATTATTTGTGTTCTTGGTCAAAATAATACCGAGACTACGGATATTTCTAGAATGACCATCATATAGGATTATAGGATTCTCACTATCAAGATTTGAAATACTTAATACTTTTGTCACGATTCTATCATCCTAAAAACATATATCAATACATATAATTATGATTTATACGATATAAAAGAAAATACCTTTTATTGATAAATAAACATTCTTATAACAATTAACGGGCTCTAGCACATCAACTCTAACGGAAGTAACATTACATAAAAAAGTTGTGTTACTCTTAAAAATGGTATCATCATTGCTGGCAAATCACGACCCTCCAAAGCCTACGCATTCTTCTTACAATTTTACCGAGTTTCCGAGCCATGAAAGATGGGAGTAAGAATGAGGGTGGTGGGATTGGTGGAGGAGAGGCTGCTCTCTCTTGAACAATTTCTGAATTTGTACTACGATTACTGCTACTCCTCCGAAGATAGAAGCTTCTGCTACCAACATGTCCTACTAGTTCCGACTTATTCAGGCCTGTTCAACCACAAGAATTGCTTCATTAAACCCATACCCAACAATTATTCCACAATGACAAAGGAACCTTTTTTATTTATTTCTTACTAGAGAAGAAAATGAATACTTCAACAGAAAGTATTACAAGAATTTCTCTATTTGCTTCCAAGATTTAAACTTTCACTCCAGAAATGCTTTCACAAGTGTGTGCGAAGTAAACATAGAAAAGCGAGGATTTGATTAGATATTTACTTATTTACAACTGCAATTAAATGGATTAATTTCTAGATAATACTTACTCTGAAGGCTGAAATAAGAGTGATGCAACTCAAAAGAGGATGCCTCATCTCGACTAAGCTTAGGTGTCCGCCCTTCTTCATTGTACTTATCTACAACAAGCTTAATTGTTTCATCCACACTAGATCCCAATTTAACCATGGCCCTGATTGGCCCCGGACTTCCCTCCACTGTCACATTAACCACCACTTTAGCATCCTTCCTAAATCCCTGCAACCACAGTTCAGATATTAAACTAATATTTTAGCCAACTGTAGCATGCGAAACTCAACTACCATACTATACATTAAATTTCCAGAAAATAAAATGCAATCAGGCAAAATTTCCCCATTTTTAAAAATTAAATTTTTGGGTCAAAACATACAGGTAAACAACATTTAACAAACCAAAGAAACTATGCAAAAACTAAAAGAGTATAAATCTGAGAGTTGACCATGAACCTCAAGATTACTTTGGGGAGAGAAAGCAATCAGAGAAGGAGACGATGCAAAAACGTCAGTACAAGTCTGTGGCCTGCACAAAATACCTTCTCCTTCGTGCCCAAAACTCATTGGTATCTGATCTGCTACATCTCCATCACCATCGCTGAAACTACTCCAAAGACTCGGCTCCGAAAAGCATCGCTTCAATATCTTAATAGGCGTGGACTGTTTAGAGGGTCCCCTCCGCCTCGGCGACGGCGACGGATGCGGTGGCCTTGATCTCCGGCCACCTTTCACCGGCACCCGTCGCCGTAGATTACTATCCGGCATTTGATGTTGGAGTTGTTGTCTCTTATGGGTTCAAACTTACTGTTCGAAGACAAATAAAGAAAGTGAAAATATTTCGAAGACAACAAGTCAACAAGATATTTGAAGTGAGAAGTTGGAAAGTTGGTGGTGCTTTTGTTTGCGTAGAAGCTGAGTCTTCCCTTCGCTTTGTGTAAGTAACTGCTCTTAATATATATATATATTGGAAGGTTCCTAATAGTGATGGAAAAGTAACTCGTCCGGCCTGGTCCAGCCCTTGGCGAGTTACTTAATTAGGCGGGTTGGTCCTAACTCGTCCGCCAACAAAGATAGGCCGGGTTAGGCTCGCCAACCCTAACCCACTGGGTTAGGCTACGGGCTGAGCCGGGTTCGCCCTATTTTTTTTTATTTTATTTTGTTTTATTTATTTAACTTTTCAAATAAATAATTAACAATTTGTAAATGAATAAATATAATTGTTTTTAGTTAACTTTTCAAATAATAATTCAATTAAATTAAAATTTTTTTTTTGGTTAACATTTCAAATATTAATTCAATTTTAATACAATAAAATTGTAGTATAAGAAAAATTAGATTTATTCATTCAATTGATGAAATTTTAGCAGAATAATGAATTATATTTTATACAAAACATGGAAATTTGAGAATAAGACTTTAGTATTTATTTTTTTTATATTTTACGTACCATAAAAAATAATAATAACAATATGTCAAATATTACGAAGTTTTATACATTTTAATATTTATGATTTAGAAGTATAGTTTAATATTATTGTGTAAAATTATTTGTTTGTAAGAGTTCAATCANATGGCAGAACAACTTACACTCACCCAAAGTTTCTCGGAAAGACATTTGGTACCCCAAAGGTTTGAAAATAAAAAACTACTTTCTGTCTAGATGTGCTAGTGAATTCCATCTACAGTAACAGAAAAGTCTAAAATGCTCTTATTATTTTCTTCTCTCTCCTTCTCTTTTCTTCTTCCCTTTTCTTCTACACATCTCCTCCAAGATTTCAGTTTTTCCCAAATTATCAAGGAAGAAAGTATAACTATTTGGCTGCATATAAATGTGATAATTCACCTTTAACCTTTAAGTGTTTAAGCTTCAGACCTCTTTCATATGAAATTTCGTTGGCGTCTTTTGCCGTACTTGCATCTCAAAAATAAGATTAGATTATTTTTAGAATGTACTGCAGATGTAGTACATGGCATGTTATTAAATTGGCACATCAGGATTCATAGCATGGAAAAGCTTGAGTCTAAACTTAAACTAACAATAGCACAACATTGTTTTACGTTTAGAAAAGCTTTACTCCAACAACGATCATCCAATCTAAACCCCACCGCTATTTATGCTTTGCTTTCATTCTTTCATATAATTACTACCGGAAAAGCAAATATAATTCGATGTGCCAGTGGTAGTGAGTGATGGAGTTGATAATGGGTTTAGAAATTAATCTCAACTTTGTTCTCCAAGCCTCTTCATGCCACCATTAATCTCCTGCTTCGACCTTGACCCCAAATTAATAAAAGTGGCAATTGAAGTGGAGATTTTCTAATAATTTTGTAGGCGCTGATATTGATTAAATATGTAGTGGGAAAGTTTGGTGTGGAGTTCAGGAGGGAAATGCACAGACATTCAGTGGCGGTTCGTCAGTTGTTTCATTACAGGGGCAGTTGGATCCATTGAAGGGGGATGCCCTGAATAAGGCTGTGCGTGACACCACTCATGAAACTATATCAGATGTATTCTCTGAAGAAGGCAGGAGGGGAATTGGGACATGGTTTTGGACCAGGAAGTAATGTTTTCAAGAACTATAGTAATTTGCTTGAGAAATTGATGAAGACAAGCATGGTTGGGTGTTTAATGCTCCTATTGATGTTAAGGTTCTTGGTTTGACCGATTACTATGCCATTATCAAGCATCCAATAGATCTAGGAACTGTGAAATCAAGACTGAACAAAAAATGGTACAAGTCGCAATGGGGAAGGGGGAGTTCGATGGAGATGAGAAGCTGAAATCTTGGCGAAGGAGATGTATATAAAGCGGTGGAGGAGAAAAAGGAAGAAGAAAGAGGAGAAAAAAGAAAATAATAAGGGTGTTTTAGTCTTTTTTGTTATTATGGATGGAATTCACCAACAGATCTGGACAGAAAGTGGTTATTTGTCATTTCCAAACTTTTTGGGTACCAAATTATCCTTACGGAAAACTTTGGGTGGGTGTAAGTCGTTCTGCCTATATATAATCCTTTTTTTTTTTCCCTCTTTTTATTTTGTTTGGAGAAGGTAATAACATTGGAAGGTTCCTAATGGCTCTGATGTTTATTAGTCCAAGGAAATAAAACAGGAAGATGGGCCCCATAACTTGTGAAACCAACATAGACCACTAACGTGTAAATGGCTAATTAGTTAAAGTTAAAATATTATTTATTCTAATTTAATTGAAAATAAATTATCCTTTTGTTATGCTCATTCTGTTGGAAGCCAAATTTGGTGCAAGGAGTTCGATTTAAAATTGGTTTACAAGTGGAGATGGGCGTAGGGTGGGCCAGGGTTGGGAAATGGGGTCCTTGGCCCTGTCCTCGACCCCTGGGAGATCACCTGTCCTCAGGACGGGGATGTCGGGGAATCCCTATCCCCGTCTCAGAGGTTGGGGATTTACGTGTGTTAACCTCTCTTATGTTTTGATGTGTCAAAACCATTCAAAAAGTTGATTGGTTACTAACCAAAACATGCTAAGGTATGACACAAGTCATAACCAAATCAAACCAAAACAGACTTGTCAAGTGATATAACCGTGCTTAAGCAGAATTTTCAAGAGGTACAACTATGCATGATCAAGGCACGCTCGTTCAGTAGAAGAAAACTATCCAGATGAACGTGCTTCATTGCACGATCTCATTCCTCATGGTTGTTCGTCACCCTACCAAAATGTGTGGCACCTGCACGACCATCTCGCACTTCTGTTCCAAATATATGTTTGGAACGCTAGTGAGACCTTGTTTCCTTAGCCTGAGCAATGACATCATTGTTGTCGCAGAATAGCTCGATTGGATCAACAATGCTTGGAACCACTACAAGTTCAATAATGAACTTCTTGACACAAACAACCTCTTTGGCCGCATCAGATAATGCTATGTACTCAACTTTCGTTGTAGAATCTGCCACAGTGCTTTGTTTTGAAATTTTTCCAACTCACTACAACTCCATTTAGACAGAACACATATCCTAACTGTGATCGAAAATCATCTTTGTCAGTTTGGAAACGAGCATCATTGTATACTCTTACAGTGAGCTCATTTTCTCTTTCATAAACCAAGAATGCATCCTTAGTCCTCTTCAAATACTAGAGGATATTCTTGACAGCTGTCCAGTGTTGTTCACATGGATCTGATTGATATCTACTACAAATGCTCAAGGCACATGAGACATCAATTCTAGTACACAACATGGCATACATGATAGATCCTATTGCCAAGGCATATGGAATCCTACTAATCTTATCTCTCTCATCTTGCGTCCTTAGACATATATTCTGTAAAACCCCTCCCTAGCCGGGTATTTCCTAAGTATCTCTTGGCCATTGAGAACCTAGAAAAGACACGCCTAGGAAATGAGTTTGTTTCAAAACCTATACTTTTGTCTGTTTTGTCATTTTTTTTTTTTCCTAAATTTTTTAAAGCTTGATATTAAACATCCCATATCCATAAAATGATTCAAGAAATTTAGCTACCTACGGAGTTAATATCATAAGTATATAATATCATAAGTATATAATATCATTTACTAATAACATTTAAAATTTTTCATTCATTTGACAAGGAAATGGTCATACTAGGTTTATTAAAACATATTTACTTAAACATCTATAAACCAAAAACCATTTGATCTTATTTTACAACAAAAATTCAAAACATAGCAAAAGCATTCCTTCATGCGCATGTCATTCCCCAGTAGCCTCTCCCAACTTCAAGCTTCAATCCTTACCTTCAATCCTTACCTACAAAACATTTAAAAAAATTTCGTGGGGTGAGTGCTAAACGTTCAGTAAGGGAATATGGTCACTTATAAACTATTAAGGTTCATTATACAAGCATATTACTCAGGACCTTACCTACCTACAAGACATGACCTTTATTCATTGACATCATCAAGTTCATAAAACATGTCATACACTTTGGACTTTACTCATAAACATAAGTCATAACATAACCATACATAATATAACATAGAACATATATGACTTATGCAATATTCATAAACATGGCATGCCTATTTCTTTTGTCTTTGTACTTGAAGTTTTCATTAGTCTTTATTATCCGATCGGATTCATTTGAACCATTACCTTGTTCTTGGTCATCACCTCAAAGGACTCATGGTTTCCACAAAGATTACATTCCTCTGATCTTGGTTTATACCTCAAAAGACTCATGGAATTCATTCTTTAACATTTCATAAATTTTTTCATAAGTCAACTAAATGAGCTATATGCATTACCATTATGAATGTAAACATATGGGATAACATCTCCCATGCTGAATCATACTATTCATTCATTTAACACGTACCCTTGGCCAATTGCACAATTAATCAATCAATTTAGCAAAACTCCATGACATGAATATTTTCCTATTAAATTCATTAACTTAATTCATTCGATTTCTCATACAACACAAGGGATTTCAACAGTAAGATTATTCAGTGGTTTATTAGAAATTATAAAAAAGATGGGAATTTTTATTAAAGAGGTGGATGCCATATAGTTTGTCACTTTTCAATCAATTTTTTCCTCATCTTCCAATTTGAATTTATTTTTGGCTAAAACATAAAAGTTTTAGATCTATTTCTCAAATTTTTAATACTTGAAGAATAAACTCAATTAGACTTTTATAATTTCAGTTATGACTGATTCAGTGAAACATGTATAGTATAAGTCTTAAAATGCCAAATCCGAATTCTATTCATTTTTAACCATGTCACATTCATTTGCACATTCATAGTATTTGCCATATCATTCTAAGTATAAAAGGCCATAAAAGCCTCCCTTTTTACAAAACCAAAAAGTGCCAAAACATCGTCCAACTACAAATCTCTTAATTGGT